TAATACAGTATTAGGAAAATTGTGGAAGACTATGAAATGGGCAAAAAAAAAAAAAAAAGATTAATGGGTAGCCCGTTCAGTGCATTGGGTTACCTGCACTTTTGTTTTTGCGCTTTTCACAGCTCAGCCACGTGTAGAAAGCTAATAGTAATGCAAGAGATTCTGGCCATAGACATGCAAATGAAGTCCCTGGAATGCGATGGATTATTGCCTCGTGGATTTGGGGGAGTGTTGCTAGTTTTTGCATCTATTCATAAATGCACGTCAGCATTTCTTGAATGAGCCCTGCTTCATCTTTGAATCAGTCATACGATCATCGTACGTGTGTCCTCATTAATGAGTTACATAAAATACAGGAAACGGGTTCATTTTGTATTTGTATGTAGCTGGTTAAAATAAATTATTTTAAAGCATAATTTCCTTGAAAAGAAAAACAAGTCCTCATTCACTTCCAAGAACGAACTTCAACAGGCTGCTGAGTCTTGGGTCCACCGTTCATTGACCTCACGCTAACATCTGACGCCGAACATCTGAGAGTTTCCAAATGTCTTCCCTGCCCAGCGACTGCTGCTCTACCAGCTGGAGTTCCTCTCCCCCCCAGACTCTGTTCCTTCCTGGCTATCAGGCTCTTCATCTGGCCCAGCCTGTTGGGGGCGGGCGAGGAGTCCATTCCAAGCTTCCTCCCGAAGGAACTCAGCAAGTTATTTCAACCTTTTTGTGCCTCAGTTTCCAAGTCTATAAAACGGGATTATAGTCCTCATATCAGAGACATTGTGAGGATCATTTAACACAGACACAGAGTACGTGCTCAAGAAATCTTAGCTGATTTTTCTTTCCTTGAAGCCATTTCATCCACTACAACAGCAGATTCCAAATCTAACCCAGGTCTCACCTCTCTCCCCTGAGCCCCACACCTGTATATCTAACTCCCGGACAGAAATTTTCTTGCTGTTCACCCAGGCAGTCTACAAATAGGTTGGAGCGCTTCCTCTACCTCTAAGCACCAGATTGTCTGTTGCTCCTGTTTTCAAGGACTGAACAGAGGAGGTGATGAACAATGAAATAAATACATGAGTAAGAGTAAAAGTAGCAAATAGAGACCAATGCTATGTTATGAAGAAAAATGGGGGGGGGTTATAGAGAAGTGTCAGGATGGGGGTATCTGCTTTAGACTAGTAGGAAGGGCTCCAATGAGGCTGTGACATTTGAGCTGAATGAAGGAGATTAAGAACCTTCCTGGTGGTGGTAATAGCACGTACAAAGGCCCTGAGGCAAGCCTGAGCTTGGTAACTTTTCTGAGGAACAAAAAAAAGCCAAATGTGGCCGCTATGAAATGAGGTGCAAAGGAATTGAGCATGGAAGGGAAAGCAAGGCCATGGTCACTATTTTGTGTGCAACCTTCCATTACTCAGACTGAAAATACTCCAGAATATTCTTTACCTTTCCATACACCTGCCAAACGAAACATTTCAAAACAGATGTTGGCCACGATCACTTTTCCTGATGTTTTCAAAAAACCTTCAGCAATTCTCCACTGACTGGTGCAACCCAGACTTCGCCTATCAGGACCCCTCTACGGGATTCCATACTTGACTGCCCCCTCATCTCCCTGTGTTGTTCAGTGAACCCAGAGAGAATGCCCCGAGTATGCCCCACCTTGGCTCGGTCTTCCCTGTATCTCTCGGAATAACGCCCACCCTTCAAACCCCAGGGTCCTTCCTGCTTTCCACCTGGGAAGCTTCCGGGCTCCTTACCCGGTATTCCACCAGGGCGCACGAGCACACGCGCGCGCGCACACACACACACACACACACACACACACACACACACACCCGCAGTCGCCTACGGGACTTATCGTGGGACCTCTTACTGGGCAAAGCAAACCCAACTGCTTGACTCCCCCACACTCGCCCGTCCACAGGGCTCCTCAGCCTGGTCCGCAGAATCAAGCACCCCCAACAGCCCTCACCCCGAACACAGGCCAGCCTGGGCACTCGACCCCGAGTGTGTTCCTAACGCGGCTCCTCTGCTGGTCCCTAATCCCTCTGATGGGCGCCACCACCTGCTCACAGGACTGCTTCGGTCTCTCCCCAGTGGTTCCTGATCATTCACTACAGACCTGCCTGGGGATCCTGCTGTAATTCTCCGGAGTGCACGTCTCACCTCCCAGGGCATCCCACTGTGCAGCCAAGGCTTTGTATCCGGTTCTAACTGGCCTCTCGCAGGGGGGACCGGATTAAGGAGACCTCACCCCCCTTCTGCAAGCCCTCTATGGGCAGCACTATTCATGACAGAGCCAAAAGGTGGCAGCCACCAACTGTCCATCCACGGATGGATAAACAAGTGGATACGTACTCCACGCAAGGGGATGTGGACATTATTCAGCCGTAGGACGGAGTGAGGCGCTGCTACACACGACAGCGTGAATGAACCTTGAAGCCAACAAAAGCCACACAGTGTTTGATTTCATTGCTAGGACATGATAGGCAAGTCAAAAGAGACGATCTCACTTAGGATAAAACCCCCAATCCCCCACACACCCTCCCCTCAACTCCTAACCCGTTTCCGCCTGCTTCCTCCACTCCAGCCGCCTGTCTGCCACCTTGCTGTTTTTCAGTGCAACTTGTGCTTTTTTTGGGTCTCTCTTTTGACCTTGAAGCTATCCCTATCTCTCTATTTATTTATTTTTATGTGTATTTATTTTTGAAGGGGGGAGGGGCAGAGAGAGAGGGAGACACAGAATCCCCAGCAGACCCTAGACCTTGAACTGTCAGCACAGAGCCCGACGCGGGAATCAAACTCACCAACCGCAAGATCATGACCTGAGCCGAAGTCGGACACTTAACCGACTGAGCCACCCAGGCGCGCCCCTGTATCTCGCTCTTAAGTCTCTCCTGTTATGTTATAAACTCCACGAGTGTAAAGCTGTATCTTACAGATCCTGGGGCCCCTTCAACAGCACCATGACTATGAAGGGAACTCAGTGCTTGATGAATGACTAAGAAAACAATTGCTCCATTCATTCATTCCACATGGTTACATCCATTTTCTGGCATCATGCCAAGCCTTCATACCCTTCATACCTTCCTATTTTCTTTCCTTTTCTTCTTTTAAGTAAACTCTACTCCTAACATGGGGCTTGAAGTCACGACCTCAAGATCAAGAGAGTCGCATGTTCTACCACCTGACCCAGCCTGGCGCTCCTATACCTTCCCACTTTGAATCACAACCTTTCGTTTCCCTGCGCAGAAACTTCCGACGGCTTCCCGGGACTTTAGAACAGAAGTCTATATGGGACACCTGGGTGGCTCAGTTGGTTGGATGTCCGACTTCAGCTCAGGTCATGATCTCACAGTTCATGGGTTCGAGCCCCGTCGAGCCCCATGTCAGGCTCCGTACTGACAGTCAGCTCAGAGCCTGGAGCCTGTTTCAGATTCTGTGTCTCCCTCTCTCTCTGCCCCTCCCCTGCTCATGCTGTCTCTCTCTCTCTCTCAGAAATAAACAAAAACATTTTAAAAAATTAAAAAAAAAAAAAACAGGAGTCTATACACTGTGGCTCTCAGACCACATCACCAGCCCACCCCGTTTCTGTCTGGCCCGCAAGCTAAAAATGTTTTGGGTTATTGTTTGTTTGTTTGTTTTACATTTAAAAATAGTTGGGGTGGAGGGCGCCTGGGTGGCTTAGTAAGTTAAGCATCCAACTTGGGCTCAGGTCATGACCTCACGGTTCATGAGTTTGAGCCCCTCGTCGGGTTCTGTGCTGACAGCTCGGAAGAGCCCGAAGCCTGCGCTTCGGATTCCGTGTCTCCCTCTCTCTCTGCCCCTCCCCCAACTTGCACTGTCTCTGTCTCCCTCTCTCAAAAGCAAATATTAACAATTAAAATACAAAAAAATAATAATAAAAATAGTTGGTAAAAGGGGTACCTGGCCAGCTCAGTTGGTAAAGCGTGCGACTCTTGATCTCGGGGTTGTGAGTTCAAGCCCTACATGGGGTATACAGATTACTTAAAAATGAAATCTTAAAAAAAATGTTGAAAAAAATAATAAAATATTGGGGCGCCAGCCTGGCTCAGTAGGTAGCATGTGTGACTTTCGATCTCAGGGCGGTCAGTTCAAGCCCCACGTGGGCTAAATGCATAAATAAAAGCAATTTGTACGATCCATAAATTATATGAAATTCAAATTTTTTAGTGTCCATAAGTAGAGTTTTCCTGGAACAAAACCATGGGGTCTCACTTGCTGTCCATGGCTGCATTTGTGCTACCAGGGCAGGGTCAATCAGACAGGTGCCAACAGACACACGCACGGCCCTCGAAGCCTAAAACATGGACTATCCGGTCCTTTATGGAAAACCTTTGCAACCCCCCTTTCAGAAGAAAATCCTGTCTCTGAACAGGGCCTGCAGGACCCTATGTGGGCTGGTCCCCTGTCCTCTGAGCTCATCTCAAGTGACCTCCCTCCCTCCCTGGGTTCTGGCAACAGAAGACCAGAGACATCCTTTCTCAGCTCTTCTGGGCCTTTCCAGGCTACTCCTCACCTCAGGTCCTTTACACAGGCAGCCTCCTCCACCTGGAACACCTTCATTCGCATCATTAAGCACCTAATTTCTTTGTTGGCAAAGGCGGGGTCTTTGTGTATCCATTCACCAGCATTCCCTGGGCCAGCACAGGCCTGGGGCATAGTAGTTGCTCAATAAATATTTGTCCACCGGAGCCTCATTTTCTTCTTATACAAAGCAGTATCTACACAAGATCTCCAGTAGATCAGCCATGGCCCTAATTTGGTTTTGCACAACCGGGTAGAACTGTACGAAGTTACAATTTGCACATGAATTTAAAAAGTCGAACACCAGTAATTTCATCTATGGCGATATGCAGAAATAACCAACTGATTCTCTCCTTCCAACTGTTTACCGCGCTCCAGCCACCTTGACCTACTTCGGAGTCCTCAAAAGGTGCCGGGTGTCTCCTGCCGAATAGAACCCACCCTGTATGGGCCTCTGTACATGCTCCTTCACTCTGGATCCAGGACCAAATGTCTCCTTCTCCAGGAGGCCCCCCGGGATCACATCTCGTCCCAACAGTGGTTTCACTGCCTTCCCAGCACTTAGCAGCACAACTAGGCATCGTGTGTGCTTTTCAAGGAAATTTATTGTTTTCTCCTGCACGCTTCTGCCCCCAGGATCTAGAGCAGGTCTGGCGCTGGGGAGTCTCTCAATCTTTGTTCCTCTGAGTAAATGCAATCACTTGAGCTCCGCCACGTACTTTTTAAGCAGTTTGCTTTAGACCGGGTCCAAAAAGATGCCCAACGTGTACTTGGTAAGTAAGTAAGTGGAGTGACTTCTGTGGGCCCTGGCTTCCTCCAGCAGTCACCCCCGCCTCCCTCGCCCTCTTCATCGTCATGACAACATCATCAGCACCAGCACCCTCATCTCCACCCCTTGGGGGGCCTTCCGCAGGCCAGCCAGTGTTCGGAGCACATTTTATGTATTAATTAACTTAACCGAGAACTCTGTGAACCGGGTGCTCTTCCCGCCTTCGCTTTACAGATGAGGAAACCGAAGCACAGAAAGATGAAGTCAAATGGACCCCTCTGAAAACGCAAGGCGTTCATAAGAAAAAGGAAGTCCAAGCCCTCTCCGCCTCTGAAATTCCAAGAAAGGATCCACTTCGGAGAAAGGGGACCAAAACAGACAGGAAACGCCGGGGCAATCAGGAACCGATTCAGCAGCAACAACAACAACAAAAACACACCAGAGACAAAGAAATCTCAGACGCGGGCGGATCTGACCGCAACTCAACTCCCGGGAGCTCTCGGGCCACCAGGCTCCCTCGCAGGTATTTCCTCTGCAGCTCTGAAGCCCCGAACCTGGACGGCAGCCTTGACCTCCCCCTCCCCCAGCTCCCACCCCAAGCCGCGTGGGGTTTACCTTCGGAGCTTCTTCCACTGCCGACGCCGGCCGCGGAGCTCCATCCTGCAGAGCCGGTGGCCTGCTCGGAGCCACCAGGATCTGTTATCTGGGCAGGAAGGGAACAGCCTCCCACCAGCCCCCAGGCCCCGGTCTCATCCCATCCCCCACCCGAAGCAGCCAGAGGGAGCTTTTGAAATTTCAATTTGGGCCAGGACACACCCCCCTCCCCACCCCCACTTCCAAACCCCTTCAAAGGTTTCCCATTGTTCTCAGGCCAAAGTCTCCAATTCTTCACTGAGCTTTAGGGGGCCTGCAGGATTCCCTTCGGCAACATCCCCTCTGGTCTCTGACCTCGGGCCAGATCCCTGCCTGCCTGGAAGGCTCTGAAGCCTGGCTAGCTGGGTCCAAATCCTGACCCTGCCATTCACTCACCGTGTGACCTTGTGCGAGCAACCTCTCTGGGCCTATGAAACGTGGATAACACCTCCCGGAGAGTCCTCAGAATTAAACTCGCTCCTGTATGGAGCGCCTGGGTGGCTCAGTTGTTAAGCGTCTGACTCTTGGTTTCAGCTCAGGTCATGATCTCATGGTTCATGAGTTTGAGCCCTGCACTGGGCTCAGCGCTGCCTGCTTGGGATTCTCTTTCTCTCTGCCCTTACCTTACTCTCTATCCATCTCTCTCAAGATAAATAAACTTTTTTAAAAAATAATTAAAGGGGCGCCTGGGTGGCTTAGTCGGTTAAGCGTCCGACTTCAGCTCAGGTCATGATCTCACAGTTCGTGGGTTCGAGGCCTGCATTGAGCTCTGTGCTGACAGCCAGCTCAGAGCCTGGAGTCTGCTTCGGATTCTGTGTCTCCCTCTCTCTCTGCTCCTCCCCTGCTCACACTGTCTCTCTCTCTCTCTCAAAAATAAATAAAACATTAAAAAAATTTTTTTTAAATAATTAAATTCGTTGCTGGAGTAAAAGAAATTATTTAGCAGAGTTTGGCTTAGCTCGCACTGCTGTTACCAGGAACTCCTACTTCATCCTTCAAAATCCAATACAAAATTAACTTCTTCAGGGTAGGCTTCGTGGACCCACTTCCCAATGAATCAGACGCACCCACCCTTACTATAGTTATCCTCGCGGGGTTCATGGCAATCGTAATTTAATACCTAATACGTGTTTGATAACTGGGTATAAATTCCTACGATTGATTTCTTATTTAGTGTCTGTTTTGTCCAATTCCGTATGTATCTCCCCAGCATAGAGCAGGCGCTCAAAAGTAATTTGGTGACTGTTGAACGGGAAATGGCCGAATGAGTCAACTGCAAGGATGCCCAGATCGCTAATGTTCAAGTCAAAGAAATTAGGAAAACTGAATTGCAACGAGGATGCAGGAAAACTGCAGCCTGGTGGAGGTCCCCAGGTTACAAAAAGGAGGCTACAGCGATTGGCAAGTAAAGTGAAAGTGGCCGTGGCCCAGAGGAGCTGCCCGCAGGCCAGGCTGGGCCTAAACTAGCCTAAACTACGAGGTGCTCCTCCCCCTTGTAGGAATCCACAGCAGAGGACCTAAAGCCCCCAGGCTGATGCGGTGGCCGGGCTTCGCAAATAAAAACACAGCGTGCCCAGTTACATTTGAATTTCAAATAAATGAACAATTTTCTAGTTTAAGTACGTCCTGGGTTTAATCTGGCATCCCGAAGGTTCTGGCCCCATGAACCCCTCCCCAGCACTGTCTGCTCTCAGTTAACTTTCTGTTTGGGAGTCCTGAGCCTTGGAAGGGAGACTCGACCCCTCCATGGTGTTTCCACCTCTGCGTAAGGGAATGAACAGCACAAGCTGCATACGGTGGGGTAGACGCTCCAGCTCTTACAACCCAGTACAAGTGCCATAAGGAAACACCAGTAAAGGGGGGGCTCAGTCTGTTTAGTGTCCGACTTCATCTCAGGTCATGATCCCGCGGTTCATGGGTTCGAGCCCCAGCGTCGGGCTCTGTGCTGACAGCTCAGAGCCTGGAGCCTGCTTTGGGTTCTGTGTCTCCCTCTCTCTCCGCCTATCCCCTACTCTCACTCTGTCTGTCTCTCTCTCCCTAAAATGAATAATAAACATTTAAAAAGAAATTAAAGGAAAAAAAAAGAATGAGTATGGCCATTCCTCTACTCCGTTTTTCTGGACGCCATCTACCAGGGCCCTCGCCACAGACTCATCTCAGTTATGCAGCAAGGATGACTGAACCCATTTTACAGAGAAGGAATTCAGGGGGAGGGTCAATAGGCCAAGTCCCCAGTCTTTAGGATTCTCGGGCTAAAGCTCTTCCTGAATCTATATCAGATGTGGATGTGCAGTAAGCTGAACGTTCCAGAAGGGCAGGCACTTGTCTTTGGTTCGGATGGTGGACCCCGGAGCCCAGCACAGTGCCTGGCCCTTAGTCGGCTTATGGGGTAAACGAATACAAACCCACCAGAATCTCCGTGACGTGATAGCAGGGTGAACGCCCTTGTGCGCTCTCTCCGCCTCCCTCTTTCTCTCTGTCTCTCTCCATGTCCTGGGTCTTGAACCCAGGTCTGCTTCCCTGTGTTTTCTCCATGCCACCAGCTACACGGAGGGTGGGGAGCATAAGCAGATTCCCGGTGTTTCTTCGGAGATGAAGCAAAATGACAAAACGTAGCTTCGGAAGGAAAGAAGCATGACCACGGAATGTCAAAATAGCCGCGCTGGTTGTTTTCTTGATGGGAAGAATGGACTCTGAGAACTTAATTCAACACAGTTGCGTTTGGCAGTCATTAAACAGCTACCAAACCTTCCCATTGGTTTGGCAAATCGCCCTGAAACAACGAGGGCATAAATGAACTCCCAGGAGAAAAGGATTTTCTAGGGTATTTGAGGAGATGCGTTGAATCCAACCCAGAGAACCCTTTGAGAACCTGGAGCCACAGGATGGCCATGCTGATGAACTCTCCAGACACTCTGTCACCCAGGAACCAGCCAGGAAATCGCCCACTAGACCCGTTCCTACTTGCCCCCACCTGGACCTGAAGCCTGGCATGAACGTCGGTGGCCGACTTGGAACTCTTTTCTATTTCCCACTGATGTTTTCCTTTATCGGTGGTAGGGACGAGACGGCCATGAGGGATGGTATGAAAGTGGAGAGTTTCAGACCCATGGAATCAGGACCTGGGCTCTTCAGAATGAACCAGAAGTGACGGTCAGGCATTTTCACTAGGTTCTCACCTCTGGGATGCCTCCCCCATGACCAATGCCAGCCTGGTCACGGGTCTCAAGCTGGCCAGTGGACATTGCTCCGTAGACTTCCCCTAACAGCATGCTCAGCGAGATACAACTCTTTGGCTTCACAGGGAGGCCTCAACCGGAGATGGCCGGCCCCACCCAGCAGTCACTCTCTATGACTTCACGCTGTTGCGCCAGCACAGCCGCTATCAGCAATCACACCACGTGCTCCTCTTATTGAATGACTTGGCTCTTTTCTTTTTTGATGTTTTATTTATTTTTGAGAGAGAGAGAGACAGACAGAGCATGAGCAGGGGAGGGGACAGAGACAGAGAAGGAGACACAGAATCCAAAGCAGGCTCCAGGCTCTGAGCTGACAGCACAGAGCCCGACGCGGGGCTCGAACTCCTGGCCTGAGAGCTCATGACCTGAGCTGAAGTCGGACGCTCAACCAATGGAGTCACCCAGGCGCCCCAACGTGGCTTTGGTCTGCCCAGCCAGGCCCTCAGTACCACACGGACAGGATGCACCTAACTCTTCTCTCTCTGGACCCCCAGCCCCTCAGCAGGCACCAAGGCAGGATGAATATTAGCAATTAAATAATGACTGCCTGCTAACTATGCCTGCTAACAGCTTTTAGATTTTTTTCATAGATTAAGCCATTGAACCCTCACAGCACTGGGAGACAGGTATCTTGATTAAGATGCTTTGCACTGGCCTTTCCCTCTCCTTGGAATGCCCTTCCCTCAGATGTCCACAGGACTCACCTCCTCTCTTCATTCGGGACTCTGCTCATATGTCACCCACTCCAAAGCCTTCCCTCACCCCCTCCCTAAAGCAGCACGCTTTAATTCCATGCCCTGCTGTTAGGGGTTGAACTGTGTTCCCCCCAAAAATAGGTATGTTCCACACCCCAGTAGCTCAGAATGGGGTTGTTTTGGACATAGGATCTTTAAAGAGATAATCAAATTTAACTGGGTTTATGAGAGTGACCTAATCCAATGTGACTGCTGTCTTTTTTCTTTTTTTTTTCAATGTTTATTTATTTTTGAGAGAGAGAGAGAGAGGGAGAGGGAGACACAGAATCTGAAGCAGCTCCAGGCTCTGAGCTGTCAGCACAGAGCCCAACGCGGGGCTCGAACTCCCCAACTGTGAGATCACGACCTGAGCCCAAGTCAGACACTTACCCGACTGAGCCACCCAGGCACCCCTGGCTACTGTCTTTGTATAACAGGGAAATCTGGACACGGAGACAGCCAGGCACAGAAGAAAGATGTGTGAAGAGAAGCCCAGGAAGCCTTGTGAAGACACAGGGTTGGAGTGAGGTACCCGGAAGCCAAGGGAAGCCAAAGTTGCCTGTAAATCAGCAGCAGCCAGAAAGAGGCTACAAGTATATGCAGGTTCAGGACTACCCCGCCCAGCCCAGAGCTGGCTCCAGACTGCTGGCCTCTAGAACTGTGTGGGACCCGATAAATCTCTGCTGTTCCAAGCCACCCAGTTCGGCCAGGTTTGCAGCACTCTGACAGTCTGAGGACGCGAACACACCTGCGTTAAGTTCCTTCCTTGCTCTGATTACCACCTGCCGCTGTTCATGTGTCCATTTGCTCCCAGCCCCCACAAGGAGCGCCAGTCCCAGGGGCTGCACATCCCTCACAGGGCCTGGCATTTATGTGTTGCTTCAAGGAGCGTTTATTGAGTGTCCACTGTGTGCCAGGTCCTGCCTTAACTTGGGGGGATGCAGCTGTGAGTGCAACAGATACACACAGAGATCCTTGCTTTTTAAAGCTTATGGTCTAGTGAGAAGAGACAGATTATAGGGGGTGCCTGGGTGGCTCAGTCGGTTGAGCGTCTGACTTCGGCTCAAGTCATGATGACACGGTTTGTGGGTTCGGGCCCCGTGTCGGGCTCTGTGCTGACAGCTCAGAGCCGGGACCCTGCTCTGGATTCTGTGTCTCCTTCTCTCTCTGCCCCTCCCCTGCTCACGCTCTGTCTCCATCTCAAAAATAAATAAATATTTTTTAAAATTGAAAAAAAGAAGAGACAGATAATAAATGAAAAACTGGTGATGAGCACTGTGGAGAAAACTATAGCGAGGAGGGAGGTGGGGAGACTGCGGTGGGCGGCAGTGGCGAGCAGTGTAGACCGAGGCTGCAGTGCGGAGGTGACAGCGGAGTGGAGCCCTGGACGAGGTGAGGGAGGAGGCATGTGCGGGGGGGGGGGGGGCACATTGCAGGTAGGGTGGTGGTCCCCAACCTGGGCGATCTTGCCGCACAGACAATGCTTGGCAATTTCTGGAGCTGTGGGGGGAGGGGCGCACAGTCCACAGCCCGAGGCCAGGAGGTCGGCCTTGGTCCTGAGAGTCTCCTGCGCCTGGGTGCGCAGGTGTTGGGTGCTGGAGGGACAGCAGGGGACCCGCTGTGCCCGAAGCCTTTGTTCATGGGAAGAAACAGCGGTGGCTGAGGCCAGAGGGTACCAAGGAAGGGAGGTTCAGGAGGGCCTTAGGCTGTTTTAAGGCACCCGGTTAATATTCCAGATAAGACAGGAAATCACCGGCGGCTTCTCAGCAGGGAAGAAAGCCCCACTGACATGTTCTAAATGGTTAACTTGGCAGCAGGGATGGAAACAGATAGACCGAGGGCGGGGGTGGGCAGGACCGACTAGGGAGACCAGCAAGGAGGCTGTTGGAATATTCCAGGTCTGAGGTGAAGGTGTCTCAGAGAGGGTGGAGGCAGTGAGGTGGGGAGAAGGGGAGAGATTCCGATCTCCTTGGGAAGTTCAGCAGACAGGGTTTGTGTGGGTGGGAGATCAGGTGGCTTTAGGGGTCCTGGTGGCTGGGAGGTCGGGGGTGGGGTCAGCTGGGAGGGGACAGCTGCAGGGGGGTGGTGGGGAGGGAACATGGAGGGGTGAGGAAGGAGTGGTCGCAGTTGCAGCTGTCCTGGAGGCGCTGGGTAATGGAGTTCAGGGGGAGTTTGCCCTGAGGGCATAAACGGGGACCCTCTCAGCGTACTGAGGGTATTGTGGCCACAGCACAGGGCACCTGGCTGGCTCAGTAGGTAGAGCCTGCAGCTCTTGATCAGAGCTGGGTGTTCAAGCCCCATGTTAGGTGTAGAGATTACTTAAAATAAAAAAAAAATTTTTAATGTTTTATTTATTTCTAGGAGAGAGAGAGAGAGAGAGAGAGAGAGAGAGACAGCGTGAGCAGGGGAGGGTCAGAGAGAGAGGGAGTGACAGACTCCGAAACAGGCTCCAGGCCCTGAGCTGGCAGTCAGCACAGAGCCCGACAGGGGGCTCGAACCCACGAACCGCGAGATCATGACCTAAGTGAAAGTCGGACACTTAACCGACTAAGCCACCCAGGCGCCCCTACTTAAAATAAAATTTAAGAAAGAAGGAAAGGAAGGAAGGAGGAAGGAAAGAAAAGCCAGAATACAAATATATCACCTAGAACAGGGGGTGCTAGAGACAAGAGGAAGGTCCAAGGGCCCCACAGCTAGAAGATTTGGCTACATTGAGCCAACAAAGATGACGAGAAGTTCCCAGGGACGCGGGAGGAGGGGGGGGGGGGGGGGGGGGGGGGGGGGGGGGGGGGGGGGGGGGAGGGAGGGTATCCTAGGACCTAGGAAGAGAGAGTTTGAAGGAGGAAGGCGTGACCACCTTGTCTAACGCTGATCCAGGGAATAGGGCGGTTAACAGGTCATTAACACGCAGCAGTAAGCGATCAGCC